TCTACGTACGATTGTTTTTAGAATGGAATATTCTTATATTCTAAATGAGGTGTAAACTCATGTAAAGCATAAATCTTAGCTCTAGGAACAAATTGATGAATAAATTGAGTACCAAAATACTGTATGTCGTACTCCCTAACTAGTTAGCTACCTTAGGTAAAGACCATACATTTTACTTTAATTTTGTTACTTCTTTTAAGTATCTTGGCAACTAACTTTCTTTAGCAACTAAGGGTCATATTACATGAATTGATCAATAACGCCAAAATAATATAAAGTTGAATGATAATGCACAAATATCAACCAAATTTAACCAAAGTTTGTGTCTCCTTTCAAACAACATCCACAAGTGGAAGTTATCCAACTCAGTTAAAGACCATGTAACAGCATTAGCATTTGGCATATAAATGTACGTCATACTTTTTATGTTAGTACTTTCGTATTTAAAATTATTCTCTTTTGATTTTTATCATCGTTAGTTTTTAATATACAGTGTAATTCTTCTAGCTTATAATTATTCGTTTTCTATGTACGTAGTGAGTGTATTACTCATATTAAAAATTATTTTCTCATGGATATATATATATATATACTTTTTCTTTTAGGTACATTATTAATATATTCCAATTAATAGGATAGATGTAATAGGGTTTATACTAATTATGTAGCACATGAGTACGTCAAAGTTAACAACCATTAAAACTCCACTAATTAATTACGAGCAATTAGCAAAGATGAAAGTTTACCACACATTATACTTTTATGATAGTAGGAAAAATACCAAGGGTTCTTTATTTTGCCTCTTTACCATATAGAGTCATTATGCTTTGTAGTTGTGAACCATTGGTTTGTTTTTCTTTACCTTTATTACTTCAGCTTTTCTAGTCATAGTCACGGTTTCACTCAAGCAGCAACTTGCAAAGCCACTGGTTTATTGGTGGTTCACCTATATATGCCTAAACAAAGTAGTTTCTGTTATTAATTTTAGGGCATAACGTAATTGAGTAAGCGTTCAACTATTGTGGATGTTCGCTAGATAGTTAAGTTAATAAAGTGTTCAATATAATAATGTTTATTCTTGTATAATTTTGATACTTTTGTATGATAAATTACATCATTATTATAGGGGTCTTGTTGTACACTTAAAATAACTACTCACGTAAAATGTGCATGTGAAACATTGTGTTAGTTTTTGTTAGATTAAGGATCTGTTCTAATGGACTAAATTGAGCTGAGCTGAACTGAACTGCACTGAATTGAATATTTTATGAGAGAAGAAAATTAAAAACTGAACTGAAAATAATTTGAAGATAACATGCACTAAATGAAAATCCGTCATCCTAGCTATCTAATTATGGCATTTGTTTCAGCCTTTCAGGTATATGTTTATAGTTACAATAATTATTGAAGAAATGGTTAATACTTGTATATATATATATATATATATATATATATATATATATATATATATATATATATATATATATATATATATATATATATATATATATATATATATATGGGTCACATTAGTACTAGAGAATATAATGATATACGAAAGTATAACAAATCGAACATATTTGAAAGACTCATTTGTCTCAAGTAATACAATTGAGTGGATGTAGGAACATTAATACAACGACCAAATTAGTTAAAAGGGGCAAAGAATATGAAGTCTCTAACTAATTAAGTACGTAGAACGGTAGAAGTACTCCATTTGTTATGACTAGGTGAGTTGTGGTTTTAATTACTCAACTGCTCCCTCTAAAACGAATTAATAGTCACATGTAATACGGAGTGTTTACTTTTGTTTAGAAAAGGCGAAAAAATAATTTAAATTTTTTTCTAATATGCTTAGCTTTTTATAATACGCCACTAAATAAATTTAATGAAAATGATTTGATACATATGAATCAATTTAGCTAATGTTTTAATAATGAAAATTATGTACCAACTAATTAAAATACAAAAGGAATTTTGATCACAAAGCTGTATTTTTGAAATTGTACACGAAAAGTTATCCTTCATTGCTTCTTTTATTAGTCTATAAGTTTTGTCTACTCATCATGAAGTCTTTTATTCTCTATAAAATACTTTTTCCATTCAATTTACAATTTGATCGAATTAGCTGGATTTAATTTGTTGAATTCTTACGTGTAAATTACCTCATTTGAGTATGTTAAAGTAGAGTAGGTGATTAATTAGACTAAACACACCACTGTGGAAAATTAACTTGATATACGAAGAAGATTATTTAATTTATTTATTTTTTTAAATATTACTCTCAAGTAAAGCGGCAAGCTATGAAAGTAATTGGTCGACTGAACTTTAGGTAATAAGGATGCAAACCTAATCTATTAAGCCGTGTATTTTTTTTTTTTAAAGCATTGCAATAAATTAACCGCGGTAATACAACCTATTGTGGTAGGAGCTTGACCAACCTTCCATCCCTTCAATACACGAGGAACATATATGGACGTGCTTTGAAACTTTAATCATATGTCTAATTTGCACTATTCTTTCAAACTTTTATATACGTCCGGTCAATAACTTTTATAACTCCAAGGTGCATATATACTTTGTTCAATTACTTGATGTATACTATACTCATAATTTACAATAATGTTACGTAACATATCATATCATGCAGAAAATATTGAAGTACCAACTAAGAGGGAGAACATCGTTTTGATTTTTCCTAGTCACTATCTAGAAAGATACTCTTTGTCATAATCTTAACCTTATATTTGTTTGCTTATATAAACACCCATCTAGGCAATAGAACAAAACATAAACCTCTAACTTTCACCCTACAACAAAATGTCCGGTAGCGAGCTACAACGCCCTTCTATTCAGCTAGTTATCGATTCTTCCACCACTATAGCCAACACCACTACTAAAGCTCCGCGATCAAGTTCTAACCCTTCGTTCTCCTCGAGGAAATCGTTGTCTCCCATTCTAGCTCGACTCCATGCAGGGTATTTTAGAATCAGCCTCGCTTTTGGAAGCCAAGCACTCCTATTGAAAATGCTTCTCCAAACTACTAACCACAATCATAGTACTAGTGACAAGCCATTGTCTCTTCTAGATGTCTTTCACAGCCTCCCATCGACTATATCCTTTTTCCTATGGTGCTTCTCTCTGTTAATCCTAACATTACTCTCCTCCTTCTATGTCCTTCGATGCTTCTTTCACTTCCACTTGGTGAAAGCAGAGCTCTCACACCATGTAGATGTGAATTACCTTTACGCCCCATGGACCTCTTGGCTTCTCCTCCTCCAATCCACCCCTATCGCCATTGCTCCAAAGACTACCCCCATCTAATCCTCTGGTGGGCATTTTCCATCCCAATCATAGCCCTCGATGTAAAAATCTATGGTCAATGGTTCACCACCGAGAAGAAGTTCCTCTCAATGGTGGCAAACCCTACAAGCCAATTATCGGTCCTAGGAAATCTAGTAGGGGCTAGAGCTGCGGCTCAAATGGGATGGAAGGAAAGTGCAGTTTGCATGTTCTCTTTAGAGATGGCTCACTACTTGGTGCTATTCGTCACACTTTACCAACGGTTGTCTGGTAGAGACCGCCTTCCTGCCATGCTCCGTCCTGTTTTCTTCCTCTTCCTCGCAGTCCCAAGCATGGCTAGCTTGGCTTGGAGCTCTATCTCTGGATCGTACGATACTGAATCAAAGATGCTATTCTTCCTCTCACTCTTCCTCTTTGCATCATTGGTAATTTTTTTACTTCTCTAGGTTATGAAGATTTCTTAACAGGAAGGGACAACTGTATAGGTGCTGCTCTACTGCCCACGTCTCATCTTTCAGTGATCCTATTGTGGATTGGAGAGGCAGGGCAACCGAAGAGCGACTGTATGGTTCAAAGACAGATCTTGCAGCCTTGCAGGTTGGAAAGCCTTGCATCCATAGGCTCAGGAAACAGAAAATCAAGTTAATTATAACAAAAAGAACCACTAACGACGACTAGCAGTAATACCGAACAAACTTTCACCAACCGGTCATAGCATTTGACTAATTAAAGATTAACAAAGAAGGATACAATATTATAAAATTTGAGAAAAAGAAGCAATCTAATTAACACTGCGTGCATAGGCCGTAATATACATTAACTTAAACATGATTTATGGAATCATTCAAATTAGAAGCAACAAGACAGATTAAGGCAGTAGTAATACACGTATAGTTTATATGTACATGCTAATCAAGAACATAATCTTTATTTTGTCTTATGTTAGTGGCAACTTAATTACAGCTGGAGATAAGTTAACCTTTCTTAAAGCTGAAACATCTGATGTAAATAGATCAGAACATTCGTCATTTAATTTGAAACATAAGCAAACAGAAAATCATAATACGAAGTATATGTTTTTATAATATACTGACCTCAATCCTTTGGCTTGTGATTCAGGTGAGCAGACCAACCTTATTCAAGAAATCAATGAGGAAGTATAACATCGCATGGTGGGCATACTCGTTCCCGCTAACCATGCTAGCTCTTGCATCTGCAGAGTATGCACAGGAGGTAAAGAGCCATGCAGCAGCAGCTTTGATGCTCATAACCTCAGGACTCTCGCTCCTAGTTTTCATTGGACTGCTGTTGTTTACTGTGCTCAATGCTGCTAAGCTGCTTCGTGAAAATGATCCTATGGCTTGATAAATACTGTTAGTGTAAACAATCCATGTCTTAAATCATATCCATCGGCAAGCCTTTATGCATTGGGCACAAATTTGGCAGAGTTACATGCATACTTGACAAACATAGGTGAATAGTTCCCATATATAATCCCAGGGGAATTTCTCCTCGAGTACTATCAGCAATCTAATTCGCGCCCTTCTCAAGACAATTCAATTATTCAAAGATACAAATATGAATTGGTCATCAAACCCCTAAGCATTGTATCCAAAGATTCACAGTTTTCTATACAGAAACCATATTCATCTGCTAAGCCATGAAGATTATACAGAAAAAAATGAGGCAGCAGCAAATAGGTGATAAAAATTCATCAATCTCAATAGATTAGTAAGTTGAGAATCTCTTCTAGATCGAAGAAAGCACAAGCATAACAGAGTCTGACAAACTGGAAGATTGAAGTAACAGAACTCTATGTATCAATAAACATATAAATGAATAGAAAATTTTTGACAGAAAAAAAAAATGAAGAGAAACTATCAAAAGCCTATGCATACTGGGGGTGATGAGCAAACACACACTTCAGAATTACTCTATTTGTATTCCTTCCTGCGTCAGTATTTCTTGTCCTATATCTTGCTCTCTCGAGTGGCACAATGGTGTAAGGTATAATGGAATAAATCAAAAACTTGTGTGACTTCGAAGGAAGACCAAGGAACCTACAAAATCTTTAACAGGGGGTTGCAAAATATTCATTACGAGTCCTTCTTGCCAGTGGAAAGTGAAATTTTGTGGTCCAGCGTCTGCAATTGATTCCGAAGTTCTTGGTTTTCTTCTAATAAACGATCATATTCAAGAAGCAGCCCCTCAGATTGCTTCCTAAGAGCCTCAACAGTAGCTTCTGATGTACTCGCTTCCTTAACCTTGCTTTCAAGATCTGATTCCAGCTGCCTAATCATATCTTTAAATGTGTCTACCTGCTGCTCTCTGGCTTTCAATTCCTCAGAGCTAGGGCCAGCAGATTTCATGTCATTCCGCTTCACAGCCTCCATGGTCTTCCTCCTCAAACGAAGTTCTCTGATGTAGTGGTGCAGACGATCAATCATTAGTGCAAGAAACAAGATGAATCCTGCAGCAATGAAAACCACAAATGTGGGCTTAGATGCACAAAGACTATTACAGTTAGTAATCTACAATGAGAGACCTTGAATAATGAAATGGTACTCTATATGAATTCACTTAAGATTGTCCTAAAAGAGCTACCAACTAAGCTAATAAATCCAACAGACTGTAGCAGCAAAACATATATAGAAACCCCATATCCTGAATAATGTTGTTTGGAACAATCAAGGACATGAAGCAATGATAATCTAATAAACTTATACTAGTATTGTATATTGAGATACCACACTAAGTTCCATTTCCAATACTAAGCTAGGAATTGATCGAGGAGGTAACTTTGCAAGAAGAATCACAAAAATCTCAAACTAAAATATCGAATTCCATCTTCCATAATGACAGGCATTCATAGCCTTGTCTGTCTCCCTTTGGCATCCCAAGAATGATTAGCAATGGAAATATGTTGCCCTAAACCATAGAGAATGACAACACAATGTTCTCCTGAATTCGATCCATACAGCAGTATTAAAGAGATATTTCTACTTACTTCAAAGTTCAAACAAAACAAAACCAAGCCTGATTTTTGAATTCGATTTTTGGAAAACAAACTAATGGAGAATTCATTCAATCATTTGAATTATGAAAAGGAACAAAATGATATACTTCACATCATAGAAGTATAATAAGATGCACAAATCAGCATTGGCACATAGCAAATCAATCCAATTTCTCAAATTCATAGGATAGCAACACCAAATGAGGCATCAACTAGAATCTTCAATATTTTAGCCAAATTCAATTTTGATAACAACAACTTTCCACATTGAGAAAACCCACAACCCCAAAGTTTTTAAGCCAAATACAGTTATATGGGCAAAAAAATAAAAATCTAAACCGACCCAAAAATAATTGGGACAAAAAGTTAAAATTGTGATCAATACCCAACAAAATATCTTCAAAAAGTTAAAAAGGTGCAATATTTCACAATTCAACCAAACACAAAATTCAAAAATTAATCAAACCAACCCTAATCAGTAGGACATTCATCAATAACCCAAAATTAAATTCCCAAAAAATCATCAAAAATTCAATGCAAATACCAAAAACAGGACAAAATCAAAAGGAACCCAGAAAAATTAGATAAGAAATGAAGAGAATTGAAGAATACCCATAAGAGAAGCTTCAAGAAGATGCCTGGAAAAGATGACTTGATCAGTGGGATTGAGAGTATCGGGCCCACCATCTTCTCCAATAGCACGACGTTGGATCTTAAGAGTGCTATAAATGGTGGAAAAGAAAACAATGGAAATTGTAGCAGAGACAGTTTTGATGACAATTGGACCACGCCCACGTTTGATTTTGTCAAGAACAGCAATTACAAGCTTTCTTAATGGAGTTTTGAAAAGTAGCAGCAAAATTATGGCTGCTTCAATGAAGATTACTGAGTATAGAAGATGTATCATCTTAATTCAATTGTTTGTTATGAAATTCTCTGGTTTTTCTGGGTGAAAAATGCAGATGAATGAAAAGAGAAAAAGAGAGAGAGAAGAGAGGGATGGAGAAGAGTAATGCGGGGCAATACTATTTCTGGGTGTTTCGTTTGGGCGGCTCAGGGGCTCTTATTTTATTTTATTTAAAGTATTTTTGATGGTATAGAGTAGAGGGCCATGGGAAAGTAGAAAATGTAAAATGTTAAGAGTTAGAGCATTTTAGTGGCAAATGAGTTCTTCGGATCGGGTTTGGATAGATCGTTCAAGCTGATTTTTTTTTATTTAAGTTGGATCGATTTATTTCATACTATTATTATTGACAATGTGCTTATCATAATACAATAACTACATTTATATGCACGCGATGCGTGTTTTAAGTTTCTAAGCCTACATGCACTTATCATCTTATAAGGGAAAGAAAAGTAAGGGCATTCGAGGTGTATTTGAAAGACATCAATATACCACTACTCAGTTTTGGCCTCCAAACAAAGTTCTTATCACCATCGGGCTTATCGCTTTGTATTTGATTAGCAGCGGTACAACTAGGTGAATGTAGATTGAGATGATCAAGTCGTCCGACCAGATTAGCCTAGACTGACTATAATTTTGGCTAATAGTTTGTAGACATATAGTCGAGCCTAGTAGGCTGTTGGAATGTATTGTCTTAGGCTTCATTGATATTTATTGATGGATGTCTAGTTATAAGGGTGATATGGGTTAATAGGATACCTCCAAAAGTTGAGAACTTGGTAATGGTAAGCTGCTAAAGAATCAGTACTTATTCATTAGTGATTGTGTTAGCTAAATTAATAACAATAATGCAGTTTTATGTATACGAAGCATACAGTTTTACAAGACTCAAATATGATAAAAGAATGAAAGAATTTGTTAATTCCTACATGTACAAGATCACCTAAATTAGGCTATACACTATAGTATCACAAACATTATTCCTATATTAAGGAATCATCTAAACCTATAACTTATGAAAGAATGAAAGAATTTCCTAACTACTGTACTATTTTCACTACCATTATATGCATGATCAAAACAGCTTGCTTGCAAATTCATCCACACAACCTCCATTCTTTCTTGATTTATCGGCGAATTCCCGGAGTTCAGACAAGCTCCGACCCAAATGCAAAGCCATCTTCAACTCAAAAACTTCACCATTTTCTCTCTTTTGTAAGTCCCCTTCTTCTAAGGTAGACTCTACAGTCTCTTCCAAGAGCTTAAAAAAACCAGCACAATTTCTGTACATCTCAAATACCATTCCTACTTGCCCTCCATGCTCTATAGTATTCACTGCAGCAGCCATTGACCCGGCGACAGCTGCAACAAGACCACCCCACGGTCCACCTTGACCTACACAAGCAGCTCCAACAGTCGCGATACCTGTCAAAATTGGACCTGAGACAGCCAACATTTTGCTCAACTTCAACGCCTTGTTACCTAACCTAACATAATCCTCAACATCCTTGCTCTTTGTCACGCCTACGATTTCTCGTATATCATCCTCCAATTCCCTAGTCCATCCATTCTGCTCATCATTACCTTTGGAAAAATTATGTTTTAGTGATGAAGTTGATTGTTTCTTAGACGGCCACCATACAGCTGGCTCTAAACTCTCGGGGTACTTATCGAGCATGGCGCCTAGGAGAGGCAAAGGGTACGCTCTATCCAAGGCTAACACCTTAGCCAAGGCCTCCTCAACATCTTCTTGAGTTGGTGTTCGAAGATAAAATGTGGTTTGGACCTTAGTTTTCAGCTGCTTGAACAACCTCACCGCGTTTCTTTGCTCCTCAACTAGCTGAGAAGGTTGGATCTTGTTCATAATCAATAAGATCCCGGTGCCTGCAGCAAAGAGTAAGGCTGAAGACACCTTTAACCCTAACCCGTGAGGCTCACTAGCCTCGGCTAGACCAGCCATTGTAACCGCGGTTAAGGTGATCATGTTAACCGAGTTTAGCAACAATGAGTTCCAATTCTCACGTTGGTTTCCGATGTTTTGATGCATTTCTATTCTATCACTAATAGCTTCTAAGATTGTATGTAATTTGATGGCTTCTTTCGTGTGTTTCGTGGTTGTGGTGGTAATAATTGGTTTTGCTTCTCTTAAAGGAAGGTTTGTTGTAAGCTTATCAAGCTGTTCAATAAGGTGCTGTTTTTGAGCATGATTTGGTAGTTTTGGGACTGTAATTTTGGGGTTCCTTAAGTATTTTGGACCACTAATTGAACTTGTGATCATAGATTTGTTTGAAGAAATCGAGTTTGTTGATGATATCGAAAGAGTTGTTGATGTTTGTAAGGCAACCATGTTGTTTGAAGATCTTGAGATTGAATCTTGTTTTTGTGTAAAAATATGTAAAAGTTGGAAGAAAAAAAAAATGGTCTAGTTTTTCTCTGAATTTTTTTTGATGGTTTGGCTGAATTTGTACTTTGTATATGTTTATGATTTATGATGGTGGATTGGGGTTGTTATTTATACTCAAGGTTCATCAAAGATAAAAGAAAAAATAAAAGTGGGCCAACTTTTGAGATGTTGACTAGTAGGACAAATTGGATTAATTGACTTGGCCAATGAGCTATGATAGGTTAGACTTTTTCATATATTTAATGAATTCAATTATTCATGTATTTGGGTTTGAGGGAGGGGGCTTTGGTTTGGTCTCTTCAACGTTCAATTTGAGCGGGTAATTGGTAGTGCTGTCAAATTTCAAACCGAAACCGTCTAACTGCCCGAATCCAACCGACCCAAATGAGAACCGAACCGATTAAAAACCGTTTCTTTGAAACCGAAAACCGACCCGAACCGCATTTTAGTAAATCCGAAACCGAACCAATCCGAGTAATGTTAAACCGTTTAAAAACCGAACATGTTAACAAACCGAACCAAATATAAACCGAACTGAAAGAAAACCGAACCGAAAAAGAACCGAACCGTATCTAACCCGAAACCGATTCCAACCCGAAACCGTTTGAACTGGCATAAAAACCGCTTACACCGAACTGTTAGCAAACTGCTACTCGTTTGCACTGAACCATTTAAAAACCGAACTGATTGTAAACCGAACTGCTTATAAATCGAACTGTTTATGAACCGAACCGTTTATGAACCGAACTGCTTATAAACCAAACCGTTTATGAACCAAACCGCTTATAAATCGAACCGTTTACAAGCTTTTTTTGTATGTAATAATAATTTATTTTTTTTTGGTGCACTTTTTTATGTAATTATATGGATTAAGTATTAGAAATCTTATAATATATTTAGCATATATTCCATACTTATCATTTTTTCTTGAGACCATATACTTATCATATTAATTGTATATATCTTAGTAACTTAGTTAATACTAAATTCCCTTAGAAATAGCACTTCGTTAGCTAATCCGTGAGTATTGACTTTAATTTGGTTTTTGGGGAATAATCTGCAATTTTGGTTTTTTGGGCAATAACCTACAATTTTTTGGCCTTTTGGGCCTTATTCATCAACATAGCAGTATTCCAGTAGCATAATAGGATTAATAGCATTAACAAGTTATAAAACTTCTAATTCAACAAGTTTCAACTTAACAAAACCAAAACAAACTAATCCAATCCATACACATAATTAAACAATTTTTAACAACAAAGTAACAAAATCAAACCAACCAATCCATACAAACAAGTTTTAACAACAGAATTGTACAAGTTTTTAGCATAACAAGATTAACACCAGCACCACAGTCTGCAGCAGAATGGCAGATCAGCAGCACTGCAGACTGCAGCAGCAGAATGGCAGAACTGCAGCGATGGAAGAAGAGCAGCAGAACAACAGAATGGAAGAAGAGCAGCAGAACAGCAAAATGGAAGAAGAGCAGCAGCAGAATGGAAGAACAACAGCAGAACAGCAAGTCAGCAGCACAACAAGTCAGCAGAACAGCAGTAAGGAGAAGAAGCAGTCAGCAGTAGCAGCACCCTATACTTATCATTAGTGTAAGAAATGAAGCTACACTTTTCTCACAAAAAAAAAAAACAAGAAAGCTTGAATTAAGCAACACAATATAAATTAAGCATCAGTAAAATAGCAACATCCATACCTTTCTAATTAGATGCAAAACTTTCATCTATCACCTCTTTACCAATTTCAAGGACGTCTTCTTCAATATCACAATCATAACCACGTAACCAATTTTGTGTGGTAACCAACGCCTCAACATTCTTAGGCAAAAGTGCACTCCTATACTTGTTTAAAATACGACCACCCATGCTAAAAGAAGACTCAGAGGCTACCGATGTAATAGGAATGGCCAAAACATCCCTAGCCATAATAGCTAATATGGGGTACACATTAATTTGAGATTCCTAATACTTGAGAACATCATAATTCTGCCCTTCAATTGATGGTTGACGAGGAGTATTCAAATAATTATCAATCTCCATCGATGGTCGATTTAGGCTATCATCAACATCAACATCCTAGAAAAGTGCAAAAAATATGCTTTTATTAAATAATAAAAATTAAGACATATAATTATTATTTTAGTAAACCACAATAAACAGAAAATGATTACCTTGAATATATCATCATCATCCAAGAGACTATTTGATTTATCAACCCCAATAGGGATTAAGGGGGGAACAATTGTACTTGACTTAAAACCGGAACACATAGAAGAATAAAAGTTATACAACTCCAAAAGAGCATCTTTAATCACCTTCGCCTTTTCAACACATGCCTCCTCAACATAAAGCACTTTCAACATATTCGTCAATCGAAAAAGCTTATAGCGAGGATCAAGAACAATAGCTATTGAAAGGATCAAACTATAGTCATCCCAATAGCCCTCAAACTTTTCAAGCATAACTTTTGCCATGGGTGCAAGTTTAGGGTCTATATGGGCTTTAGTTATTGTGTGCTCAATTTTCAAAACACTAGCAAAATACAAATTTGCGGTAGGATATTCAGAACCAGAAAATAACATAGTGATTTCATAAAATGGCTTTAGGAAATGACATATTTTTGCAAGGGTATCCCATTCATCATCCGAAAGTTTGAATTCATAACCCATATACTTATTGATAACCACTTTCAAGGCTTCCTTTGCTTCTAAAGCTTTTCGGAGCATCGTATAGGTGGCATTCCAACGAGTCACAACATCAAGACGTAACTTACCGTTAAATAGACAGTTAACCTCAGAAAGAGCATGCTCAAATTGAGTAAGTCTAGAGTCCGAAGAATCAATATATTTACAAACCTCACGCAATTTTTGAACACTACTATCAACTTCTTTCAAACCTCTTTGAACAATAATGTTCAAGACATGAGCTGAACATCGAATATGAAAAAATTTACCATTACAAGGAAGAGGAGAAGTCAACATTAAATCTTTCTTCAAAAGTTTAACCATAACATCCATAGATCGAGCATTATCAACAGTAATTGCAAAAGCTTTACCCTGAAGGTTCCACTCCCCAATAAGTTTAAACACAAATTTTTCTATCTCAACACCAGTATGAGGAGGACCACAATATCCAAAATTCAGAATTTTAGACCTTAGACACCAATTTTTATCAACATAATGTGCAGTTAAAGTGAGATAACCTCTATTAGTGCATGCTGTCCACAAGTCACAAGTGAAGCTAACTCTACCTTCAATTCCAGAAAAAGATTGCAACAACAAGGACTTAAACTTATCATGCTCAGCAATACAATATTTCAACATAGTGTTTCTACACACATGCTTCACATTAGGATTCAGATTCGTAAAAACTTCCCTAAGGCCATGATGCTCCACAATATTTAAAGGATAGGAATGCAAAATTATAGCTCTAGCAAGCAATTGTAAATGACGAGTTTGATTAAACGTAGGATCAACAACACTTTCAAGATTTGCAGGATGATGTATATTTTTACCCATGCATGCCTTAGTATGAGCTTTACAAGTGGAAGTACCAACCTTACCTGGTGCTTTATATTCATTACAGCAAACATTGCATCGCGCATATCTTATCGGAGCAAGACCAACAATCTTATCAAAAAAGGTGTAATGCCTCCACACATCTGATGTTTGCCACGCTTACTACCACTAGTGGTAGTGACTTGTTGCTGAGAAAAATCTTGATTCTGAATAGTGTTTTGAGAATCTGAAGTTTCTAAGTAACCGAACTGTTTCCAACCCGAAACCGCTTCCAACCCGAAACTGTTTGAACCGGGATAAAAACTGTTTACACCGAACCATTAACAAACCGCAACCCGTTTGCATCGAACCGTTTACTACCCGGACTGTTTACAACCCGAACCCAATTAAAACCGATCAAGATTAAACCGAAACCGAATCGAACCGATAAATATTTAAACCGAACTGAAACCGACCCGCGAGACACTTAAACCGATTTAATACCGACCCGATTTAATACTGAACCGATTTCAAACCGAACCAAACCCAAACTGTCAAACCGTTTGACAGTGCTAGTAATTGGTATAAAATTAAACATTTGATTTGTTCTTACTTCTAAGTTTGAGGCTTCAAGTAAATACTTTGAGCCTATATAATTACAATTAATTGCCATCATACCAAGGTCTTAGCTTATATTTGACATGTTAGTGCTTGGAAATTGGCATGGAGGTGTTTATGTTTCAATGTGATTATAGACCTAAAAGACTCACTTAAGTAGTAAAAATAAAATAGTAAGATACAGTAAACAATAGCTATGTTGGCTATTCGATTTTTGTCATTTTCTAAGAGGGAATTATAGACTTAACAATATTGACTCTTACCTATTTACCCAATCTAATACTCAGTTTGCACTTGACATTAATCCGTTTGGTAAATACTTTGGTTAATTAATTATAATATTGTATGAAATTATTTTATTTTATTTAAACTTATTTTTTTAAAATTATTTGAAATTATTGTTTAGTCTTCACTTGTTTTATACTACTTATAAAGTTTTTGAACTTAATTTGTCTAAACTTATTTTATATGTTTAATATTATCTAAACTTATTTTATTTTGTATTATCTAAACTTATCTTATTTAATTTAATTTTATTAGAAATTATCAGAATTTATTTTTTTTCTAAATAATAAGATTAAATTATATGAAACAATCATACCCTTAAACAAAAACACGAATTATCCCAAATTGATTTTAACCCAAATAAATTGACTCAAACTGACCCAAGTTGAATATGAATATATGCTTCAATAATTGACCCGAACATACACCTGATTTTTTTTTTTAATTTGTTAAATCATTTAAATTAGGACATAAATAATTAATTAGACTAATCCATTAATTAGGTACTTGATTGATAATTACTAGGGGTGTCAATCGAGTTTATGATTAAGTTTTGGGTTTAGTTTATCGATTTCGGTTTGTAACGGTTCGGTTTTTAACGGGTTGGAATTACTATCGGGTCAGCCCGAGTTGGTTTTAAATAATTTCGGGTCGGTTTGGTTTGGTTTATTTTTATTACAGTTTCTTTTCAGGTCGAATTCTAATCGGGTCAGGTTATAATTGGTTCAGGTTATAATCGGTAGAGTTGTCAATTCGGGTGAACGGGTCGGGTTTAGGTCGGGTAAGAATGGGTCGGGTCAAGTCAATTCAAATTAATTCCATAACCTATGCGGGTCGGGTTTGAGTTGGGTCATGCTTGAGTCGGGTCATACTTCTTATCGGGTTTGGGTCGGGTTTAGGTTGGGTTAATAAATGGTCAGGTTGAATTTAGGTCGGGTCAATAACAAGTCGTGTTGATTTCGAGTCGGGTTAGTAACAGATCGGGTAGAATTTTTGGGTCGAGTTAGTAATAGGTATGGTAAAATTTGGGTCGGGTCAATAACAAGTCGGGTTGAATTTGGGTCAGGTCAATAACAAGTCGGGTTGATTTCGGGTCAGGTTTGTAACATTTTAGGTTAAATTCGGGTCGGGTTGGGAACATGTCGGGTTGAATTCAGGTCAGAAATAAGTCGGGTTAAATTCGGATTTTGACGGGTTAAAACGGGTTTTGGTCAATTTCGGTTCAAGTCGGGTTCAGTGCAAGTTAATTAAATTGGTCGTTGTAAACCGGTAAATCAGTGCAAGTTGTAAACAAGTAAATTGGCCGTTTAAAAGCAAATTGAATGGTTCCACACACCCAATTGGACTCCTAGAGGGTATTAGGGACCATAGTAAACAATTCGGTAATTTTTATTTCCGGACGAAAAAAGTCAAAAAATTCCAAAATTGAAGGCTAATAATATCCACGCTTTTTGAGAAATTTTGGAGGTTTCAGGGCCCAGTGTAGAAAAGTCTTGAAATTCTATGGGATACATCTCGGAGTCATATAATGCCGTTTGGAACCATATATGATCATTATTTTTTGTCATAAATGTTCGTGGTAGGCTTGAGTTGATAAAATCGGTGCAAGTTGTAAACCAGTAAATTGGTCGTTTAAAGGCAAATTGGGTCGTTCCACCCACCCAATGGGACTCCCGGACGGTATTAGAGACCATGGTAAACATTTCGGCAATTTTTATTTACAGGCGAAAAAAAGTCAAAAATTTTAAAATTGAAGGCTAATATCCACGCTTTTTGAGAAATTATGGAGAATTCGGGCCCCGGTGTCGAAAAGTCTTGAAATTCTAGGGGATACATATCGGGGTCATTTAATGCCGTTTGTAACCATATATGATCATTATTTGTTGTCATAAATGTTCGTGGTAGGCTTGAGTTGATGAAATCGTTGCAAGTTGTAAACCGGTAAATTGGTCGTTTAAAGGCAAATTGGATGGTTCCACCCACCCAATGGGACTCTCGGACAGTATTAGGGACCATGGTAACCATTTCGGCAATGTTTATTTCCAACTGGAAAAAGAGTCAAAAATTTCTAAATTGAAGGCTAATATCCACGCTTTTTAAGAAATCTTGGAGAATTCGGGCCCAGTGTCGAAAAGTATTGAAATTCTAGGGGATACATCTCGGGGTCATTTAATGCCGTTTGGAACCATATATGATCATTATTTGTTGTCATAAATGTTCGTGGTAGGCTTGAATTAATGAAATCAATGCAAGTTATAAACCGGTAAATAGCCCCTTTAAAGGCAAATTGGATGGTTCCACCCACTAAATTGTACTCCTGGTGGGTATTAGGACCACGGTAAACATTTCGGCAATTTTTATTTTCGAGCAAAAAAAAGTCAAAAAATTCCAAAATTGAAGGCTAAGATCCACGTTAGGAATTGAGAAATTTTAGAGGTTTCGAGGCCCGGTGTCGAAAAGCCTTAAAATTTTAGGGGATACATCGATCTCAGGGTCATATAATGCCATTTTTAACCATTTATGATTATCATTATATGTTGTTATAAATGTTCGTTATAGGCTTGATTTAATGTAATCGGTGCAAGTTGTAAACCGATAAATTAGTCGTTAAAAGGCAATTTGGATTGATACACCCACCCAATTGGACTCCCGGAGGATATTAGGGACCATGGTAAAAATTTCGGTAATTTTTATTTCGGGGTGAAAAGAAGTCAAAAAAATTCAAAATTGAAGGCTAATAATATATCCATGTTTTTTGAGAAAATTTGGAGGTTTCGGGTAGAGCTGTCAATTCGGGTAAACGAGTCAGGTTTGGGTCGGTAAGAGTGGGTCGGGTCAACTCGGGTCGGGTCAATTCGGATTTATTCCTTAACCTATGCGTGTCGGGTTTGGGTTAGGTCATGCTTGAGTTGGGTCACGTCGGGTCATACTTCTTATCGGGTTTGAGTCGGGTTAATAACAGATCGGGTTACATTCGGGTCGGGTGAACAATAGGTCGGGTTTAATTCGGGTATTCACGGGTTAAAACGGGTTAGGGTAATTTTCGGGTTCGGTGCAAGTCAATAATTTGTGGGTTAGGATCATGTCATGTCATTCTCGGGTTTGAGTCAGGTTCGCTTCAAATCAATAATTTGTGGGTTATAATCAGGTCAGGTCATTCTCGGAGTCAAGTCAGGTTATGTTCAAGTAAATAATTTGCAGGTTACAATCAGGTCGAGTCATTTTCAAGTCAGGTCATATTCGGTTCAACTAACTATAAATAGATCATTATCATTTTTATCAAGCTAATTATTTCCTTTTACTATAATGTATATGGCAATATATTAGGGAACTATAGTTTATAATTTAGGAAGATAATTATCTCCTTTGACCATACAACAAATATATACTACATTTAACTCTTAAATTTGAGGATGATGCTCCTTTCTTTTGCTGGCCTAGATCGAATTTGTCTCTCTAGACAAAATGCTTTGATCAACAATAATAAGGTGGTCTAAATTACATTTAACGTGATTTGAAATCAGGTCAGGAACAATTTGGGTTGAATTTAGGTCGGGTCAATAACAAGTCGTGTCGATTTTGAGTCGGGTTAATAACAGATCGGGTTGAACTTTTGGGTCGGGTTAGTAATATGTCTAGTAAAATTCAGGTCGATTCAATAACAAGTCGGTTTGAATTTGGGTCAGGTCAATAATAAGTCGGGTTGATTTCGGATCTGGTTTGTAACAAGTTGGGTTAAATTTGGGTTAGGTTGAATTCAGGTCAGGTTAGTAACAAGTTAGGTTAAATTTGGGTTTTGACGGGTTAAAACGGGTTTGGGTCAATTTTGGTTCAAGTCGGGTTCGATTCAGGTCAATAATTTACGGGTTACATTCGGGTCAGGTCATCTCCAGGTCAGTTTATGTTCAGGTTCGGGTCTCACATACTCGGGTTAACTCAAGTCTAGGGTTGGTTTCAGACTTTCAGGTCGGGCCAGGTCAGGTTTAAGTCACCATTTTTTCGTGTTCAAATTGGTCGGTTAATAATCAGGTTTAAGTCGGTATTTCGGGTCAGGTCAACTTTTGACAGCTCTAATGATCGATTCGGGTTAAATTCGGTCGGTTTAAAAATGGGATTTGTCAATTTAAAGCGGGTTTATGGTCAACACATATCGGGTCCTACTTGGGTCGGGTTGTAATCGGTTCAGGTCAGAATCGGTTTGAGTTAAACTCAGTCGGTTTGACAACTGGTTTTGTCAATTTTAAACGGGGTTCGTTAACGTATATCTTCTAGTATTTCCTTAATATTCTTTAATTAGTTATTCCAGACAGAGTATTAATTAGCTATTTAGATTTATGTCCTTTTTTGTATAATGATTTTCAGATCAACTAATAATAACAAATCTAGAATTAGCTTTTGATTTAGATTTTTATTTTTTTTAATACAATATTGTGTTCCATAAGCCATTACTCGTTAGAGGACGATAATATTTTAGCATAAGAGTTTCAATGACATAAAAATTCCAAACTTTTTCAATATAAACACTTTGTAATTCAAATTAAACCTTTTTGTTTCACTATTGATAAAATATACCCAAAAAAAAAAGAAAAAAAAAAGCTCTATTGTCATAACGGGTTACGGACTTACGGATTATAAACGGTTCGATTATAACCGGTTACGGGTTGTAAACGGTTCGGTCATAACTTATTACAGGTTATAAATGGTTCAATCTTAACCAGTTACAGGTTCTAAACGATTTCGGTTTATCAGGTTTTTGCCGGGTTTAATTAAACGGTTTCGGTTTACAATGGGTCGGGTTGCTATCGGGTTTAGAAGTACTCGGTTCGGGTTGTTCTCGCTTTCGGGTCGTATCAGTTTGGCTTGATAATGGGTAAAGTTCATTAACAACGGCTCTCAAACATTCGGATCGGTTCGATTTCAGGTTTTAAAAAATCGGGCCGGTCAATTTACGATTTTAAAATAACAGGTTCTTAGCGGTTCGGTTCCTTTTCGGAACAACTCGAAACGGTTCGGATTCATCAGTTTGGGTCGGTTTTCACCTCCCTAATAACTACTACTATATATAATTTCGTAATTTTCATAACTTGTAACAGTACGTAATAGTAGAAAACTAATTAGTCTAATTAGCCTAGTTGTCTCTCTTCTTCACATTACTTGTGAGCCAAGCCAATTATAGCTACAACGCGTGGCTCATTAAGATCTCGAACAACACCAGGCCAAATTCGAGTCAAACTTACTCAGCTCGAGACTAGCCTAGCTTGACGATTATTTGATTAATGATAATCAATGTAAATAATCTTAACATTTCAAAATATTATGACACAATCATCCTCAATAATTTTAGGATTACTACTAAGTACTAAATTAATTTTAATAAAGTATACACTAAGATGGATCTAACAAAATTTGATCAATATATGACTATGTTTTTCAATAAATATATACATTGCAAGTACGAATTACAAAGGAAGTTTTTATTTTTTATTTTTATTTTTTTTAATACTCCCGTTGTTTTGTGATAATCACAACACTTAATTTGACTCTACTTTTATTTACTAATAGACCGTGTAAAACATTTTTGGATTAATCTTTCTGTACATTTTCATTAGATCAAACTTTTATATTTCTTGATAATATATACGGAGTACTACGCAATTAGAAATATTAATGGTTAAAGTTATTCATTGACATAGGTGTTGGTTAAAGTATTACAATTATTATAAAACGGAGGAATATATATTATGGAATAGCTCCCAAATATATGTGTATGTGCATTAACATTCTGAGACTTTATACAGAATTTCCAATAACAAAATCAAACAACCAACGTTTGTTTTAGTTTAATTGTAGATTCAATCATTGGCTTCTCGTAACAATAATGCAACATGGTTTCAAATTACAAATTTGATTGTGCAATTTTGCTGCTCCTAAAGAGTCTTTTTGTGGAATACACTTTTACACTAACATCCACATAATCACATGCATCTACGTGCAAATTCAACATTTAAAATTAAAGTGTGATGGCTAAAATCTTTGCATCTAATTCTGTAGAAGTGATTTAGAATGTCATGTTAATTTACAATTTCAATTTGACCATTTTACAAATAAAAGAATGAAAGAATTAATTCTTAATTACAATTTTACTACTAGGCTACTAGCTATATATGTGCATGCATGCATGGTGACTAGAAAGACTAGAAGAGCTTGCTAGCAAACTCATCAACAGAACCTCCATTTCTTTTTGATTTGTCGGCTCGAGTTGAACTCAGTTGGTTTGACAACTGATTTTGCCAATTTTAAACGGGTTTCGTTAACGTATATCTTCTAGTATTTCCTTAATATTTTTTAATTAGTTATTCCAGACAGAGTATTAATTAGCTATTTAGATTTATGTCCTTTTTTGTATAATGATTTTCAGATCAAATAATAATAACAAATCTAGAATTAGCTTTTGATTTAGATTTTTTAAAATACAATATTGTGTTCCATAAGCCATTACTCGTTAGAGGACGATAATATTTTAGCATAAGAGTTTCAATGACATCAAAATTCCAAACCTTTTCAATATAAATACTTTGTAACTCAAATTAAACCCTTTTGTTTCACTATTGATAAAATATACCCAAAAAAAAAAGAAAAAAAAAGCTCTACGGTCATAACGGGTTACGGACTTACGGAATATAAACGGTTCGATTAACCGGTTACGGGTGGTAAACAGTTCAGTCATAACTTATCACGGGTTATAAATGGTTCAATCTTAACCAGTTACAGGTTCTAAACGATTTGGGTTTATCAGGTTTTTTTCTAGTTTAAACGGTTTCGGTTTACAATGGGTCGAGTTGCTATTAGGTTTAGAAGTACTTGGTTCGGGTTGTTCTTGATTTCGGGTTGTATCAGTTTGGTTTGATAAATTCATTAACAGCGGTTCTCAAACATTCGGATCGGTTCAGTTTCAGGTTTTAAAAAATCGGATCGGGTCGATTTACGGTTTTAAATTAACGGGTTTTTAGCGGTTCGGTTCCTTTTCGGAACAATTCGGGATTCATCAGTTCGGGTCGGTGAATATAATACAATTTTGCTGCTCCTAAAGAGCCTTTTTGTGGAATATAATATACTTTTACACTAGCATCCACATAATCACATGCATCTACGTGCAAATTCAACTTTAAAATTAAAGTGTGATGGCTAAAATCTTTGCATCTAATTATGTAGAAGTGATTTAGAATGTCATGTTAATTTACAATTAAATTCAATTTAACCTAATTACAAACAAAAGAATGAAAGAATTAATTCTTAATTACAATTTTACTACTAGGCTACTAGCTATATATGTGCATGCATGCATGGTGACTAGAAACAACTAAATGATTAAAATAGCTTGCTTGCAAACTCATCAACAGAACCTCCATTTCTTCTTGATTTACTGGCGAATTCCCTGAGTTCAGACAAGCTCCGACCTAAATGCAAAGCCATCTTCAACTCGAAAACTTCACCATTTTCTCTCTTTTGTAAGTCCCTTTCTTCTAAGGTAGACTCTACAGTCTCTTCCAAGAGCTTAAAAAAACCAGCACAATTTCTGTACATTTCAAACACCATTCCTACTTGCCCACCATGCTCTATAGTATTCACTGCAACAGCCATAGACCCCGCTACACCCGCCACGATTCCTCCCCACGGTCCACCATGGCCTAAACAAGCAGCTCCCACGGCTGCAACACCGCTCAAAAGTGGACCCGAGACAGCTAACATTTTACTCAACTTCAACGCCTTGTTACCTAACCTAACATAATCCTCAACATCTTTGTTCTTTGTCACGCCTACGATTTCTCGTATATCATCCTCCAATTCCCTAGTCCATCCATTCTGCTCATCATTACCTTTAGAAGAATTGTGTTTTAGTGATGAAGTTGATTGTTTCTTAGATGGCCACCATATAGCAGGCTCTAAACTCTCGGGGTACTTATCGAGCATGGCGCCTAGGAGAGGCAAAGGGTACGCTCTATCCAAGGCTAACACCCTCTCCATGGCCTCCTCGACGTCTTCCTGAGTTGGTGATCGAATAGAAAGAGTAGTTTGGATGTTATTTTGAAGCCTCTTGAACAACCTTACCGCGTTTCTTTGCTCTTCTACCAACTGAGAAGGTTGAATCTTGTTCATTATTAAAAGGATACCGGTGCCTGCAGCAAAGAGTAAGGCTGAAGACACCTTTAACCCTAACCCATTAGGCCCACTAGCCTCGGCTAGACCGGCCATTGTAACCGCGGTTAAGGTGATCATGTTAACCGAGTTTAACAGCAATGAGTTCCAATTCTCACGTTGGTTTCCGATGTTTTGATGCATTTCAATCCTATCATTAACAGCTTCTAAGATTGTGTACAATTTGATAGCTTCTTTCGTGTTTTTCGTGGTTGTGGTGGTAATTGGTTTCGCTTCTCTTAGAGGAAGGTTTGTAAGCTTGTTAAAATCATCGATGAATATTTGTTTTTGCGCTTGATTTGGTAGTTTTGGGACTGTTATTTTGGGGTACCTTAAGTATTTTGAACCAATAATTGCACTTTTTATGGTGAATTTGTTTGATGTAACAAAAGTTTTTGAGGATGTTTGTAAAGAAATCATGTTTAAAAAGTCTTAAAATTGAATATTAATCTTGGTTTTCTCTATGTTTTTTTGGTTGTTTAATTTGTTGATGAATGGCGAATATGATTGAAGATTAGTTAGTTGGGGTTGTTAATTATTTATACAACTAACTAATGAACAAAACTATAAAAAATAGGAATGAAGCTTAGTCAAATATGAGGATCTTGACTAGTTTAATATAAAATCAATTATTGACTTGGTCGTCAAAACTAAATTCTAGGGTAAAGTGTAAAGACTTTTTCATGATCTAATATTCAACTATTACGGATTATAATCTTTGTAGAATTATAGGGATGTGGTTTGTTCAATGTTAATGTACTCCGTAGTAAAATTTAGAACATGCACTTTGAACTGTTCTTTACTTCTTTAGGTCTATAGATTTGACGTACATGCCCCTACATACATGGTAGTGCTTTAGTAGCATGAGCATATAGAATGCCATGTAACTTGATGCAAGATTCAAGATTCAAGTCATTCAACTAATGGAAAAGTGCCACATTGAACATATAAAGGTTGATGGCTTAACACCACCCTTTAGCCAACACATTTGGCCCACCCGCGATACCGTGTAACAATTATCTATTAACGACTCCCTTAAATTCTCACCAAGCTCATTTTAAAAAGAATTTCTCCTCTCAATCTCCTGATTGATGTAGGCTTTTACCTTATCTTTAATAAAAATGACAAGGAATTTGAACATAATTATATTAAGCTATAAGGATTCTCAATCAATTTTCATTATATTAACTCAATTAATTAAAACAATTTTGGAGACAACAATGTGCATGCTAGACTTTTTTAGATGTGGGAGGCCAATTAAGATAATATTATTTTAAAGCTTAAGCTAACAATTGAGGCCTAGAAATATGTTAAGTATATATTCTATTACGTCCTCTCGATCACACGAGAGTCGTTGAGTTTGAAGCAAGTGTATGAGGAAGCGGCTTTGGGGCTATTCATACCCAGCGCAAAATCAAATAAATTCCACTTTGAAAGGTGACGTGGATGATCTAAGATTTAAACCTTTGTCTTTGTGTCATGTTTACTCTAATATCATGTTTAAAGACTTACTCAAAGGCTTTTGATTACAGGCTTAGAAATATGTTTATATACTCTCTATTAATTTTGGATCAAGCTCCCTCGCTCCTAGATCGATGTAATTGGATTTGCAAAGTGTTGAATTTTGTTGGTTGTAATTCTTTTATTTAATGGTGGACTCCGTTAAATATACTCCATGAACAAAATTTCACCAGTTAAGTATATGAGATGTGTAGTCCTTAGAGTCATACACTCCTTACTTCAATATTACGGAGTACAAACATTTAGGTGGCAAAACAACTAAACAAAAATCAAGATTTTGCAAATCATATCTCATATCATTAGTCAAATTCTAAACTTTTAACTTATTTGGGGGTCCATTATATTTTAATCATTTAATCATTCCTTTATTTCCCTGTCATTGTTTTAAGCCCTTCAAAGTGACAAGACATATTCCAATATTTTAAGATGTTTTAAATCAATAATACAGTATTTGTTACTACACTTTTCACGCTAACATGCAAGCTTAACAAAAGGTGCAATTTTCTTTTAAATTACTTGTACAAAATAATACTGTCAAGCTTCCTTTTATACTGTACAAGTATTTATTATTAAGTAATTATAAGTTATGGCCTCTATTATTCTGTATAATTATAAATACTTAATCATACTTCATATGTAGTATATATTACACTTTACACAAGAAAAAAAAAGTATTAAAATCAAAGAATGTATTATTATTATTATTATTATTATTATTATTATTATTATTATTGCAATGCTTATAATTTAAACCTTTGTAGGTTACAAGATTATTCAAAGAATGAACTAAAAATTAATTTTGATGTTTTACCAAGTAAAACAAAATTGGTAAAAGTTCATTGTACAGCCTATACAATAGTGTACAATGTAACTTAATGAATCAATGAAAGAATAAATAAATATCCATCCTATCTAAGCTAGCTAAACACTTGATCAACTAGTTCTCTATACACTACATGATCATCAAACTATGCTGTGTAGCTAGCTATATATATACACAGTTAATTAAACTGCAATAGAAATTTAAATGAGCTTGCTAGCGAATTCACCTTTGGGACTCCCTAACTCGCTTGAACATGAACCGGAGGAGCTTGTAGCTGCCGCGAAATCTCTAAGCTCAGACAAGCTCCTCCCCAAATGCAAAGCCACCTTCAACTCGAACAACTCACCATTTTCTCTTTTTCCTAGATCTGTCTCTTGTAAAGTGGACTCAATTTTCTCTTCTAATAGGTTAAAAGTTCCAGCACAGTTCCTATACATCTCATATACCATCCCTACTTGTCCACCATGCTCTATGGAGTTCACCACACTAGCTAAGGACCCTGCAACACCCGCCACAAGTCCACCCCAAGGGCCACCATGCCCCGCGAAAGCTGACCCTATGGCGGCTATCCCCATCAGGATTGGGCCGGACATGGCTAGGGTTTTGTTAAACTTCAATGCTTTGCTCCCTAGTCTAACATAATCTTCGGTATCCCTCTTATCTATAACTCCGACAATTACTTTCATTTCCTCCTCCAACTCCTTTGTCCATCCATTATTCACTATTCCCTCTTTCTTGTCAAACAAGTTTTGTTTTGTACTACTATCATTGCCATTTTCTTGAGTCATGGCTTTCTTTGAAGGCCACCACATGGCTGGCTTGAATGTGTTGGGGAACTTCTCTAGCATCGCGCCTAGAAGAGGAAGAGGGTATGCTCTATCCAAGGCTAACACCTTCTCCATGGCATCCTCCACGTCTTCATGAGTTGGTGATCGAAGAGAAAGAATGGTTTGGATCTTGGTTCGAAGCTGCTTAAGCAACCTCACCGCGTTCCTTTGCTCCTCTACTAGTTGAGAAGGTTGTATCTTGTTCATTATCAAAAGAATGCCAGTGCCCGCGGCAAAGAGTAGGGTTGAAGCTACGTTTAACCCTAAGATAGGCTCACCGGAGAACCCTGCCATGCCGGCCATGGTGGCCGCGGTTAGGGTGATCATGTTGAGGGAGTTTAACAACAAGGTGTTCCAATTATCACGTTGGTCACCTATATTTTGGTGCATCTCTATCCTATCTAATACAGCCTCCAAAATTACATGTAACTTAACGGTTTCCAACGTTGCACTATCCTCATGACTAACTTCGTCTTGAGGACTAGTTGTGTTCTCCAATGGTAGGTTTATTTTTGCGTTTTTATTTAAAAAGGTGGTATTTTTTAAGGACAACTCTTTTAAAACCTTACTGTTCGGTAATTTTGGGATTGATAAGGCAGATCTAATTTGGAGGCTAGGAGCCACGGAACGAATTAAAGAATGTGTAACATGGTCTGATCTAATAACAGACCCCGAAGCCAATATTGATGAAGATTGCAATGTAGCCATAAACATGTATTCAAGAGAAGAAATGAATGATTTAGTATGCAAATATTTTTATGAAATTGGGTCTCTTGTATGTTGTGATAAGAGGAGAAGAAATGTGAGGTTGTAGATGAATTTTTCATGTCAAGAGGCGTTATCTTATATATATATGGATGCAAGTTGGCAAGAGAACACCGTTGGTTTGACAATGTTGACCAATAACGTACAAGGCATTTAGGTTTGACTCATTAAGCCCATTGAATGGACCTATTCATTCTTTGGTTTGTTTTTTTTGTTGGATTTTTATAACTACTTGGAATAAATACTTTTCCTAACCTGCAAATTTGGGTCACGAAATCTGACGATGTGCATGCGCGAAAAATTCAGATCAGTACTGCTGCTGCAATATTTTTAATATGGGACTCCCTGGTCCCTACAATAATACAATCTCGTACGTTGCTAGGGTTGCTCATACAGGATACGGAGTACTACATACGGGGTATTTATCTTTATCTTACCCTTGTCTTTTAAGAAAAAAACATAAAAAAGTACTTTTTTTTTTTTTTGGAATAGTACATAATATAGTACTTGTATGAGTATAAATCAACTACTCCGAATATACATGGATTTTTGGTTACTTGCTGCTTTCTCAAATACAGTATTTCATAATGAGTCAAGTGGTAATAATTCTATCTTTAAGACATCCAGTCAAATTAAATGCAAATTTACTTGGTAGTTATCACCTCATTTATCTCTATCTGAAATTTTTCCTGTTGATTTATGACATGTTCACATTTACTAAACTAAGCTAAACTGAACTGAACTGAACTGAGCTAAAATGAATATTTTATGAGAGAGGAAAATTAAGAGATGAACTGAACTGATTGGAGCTGAACTGAACTAACTGAACTGAACTGAATTGAACTGAACTGATTAGAGCTAAACTGAAATTAAGTAGATGTTAACAGTACCTTAGGCAAAGTTAAGTGAGAGATAAATATAAAATCCCTCCGTTTTTGGTATGTTACACACTTTGACCAAATATGAAGTAAGAGATAAGTAGGGTTGTTAATAAATTAAAAAAATTATAGAATAATAGTAGATCAAGTTAATATTTTATTGAAAAGTAAAATATATGAGAGATAAAAAAAATAATATAGATAAAGTAATACTCGGTTACTTTATGATGGTTACTCCGTTACGGATATAGAGCTTACTTAGTTAATAATATAGGGATTATGTTGTTTTCAGGGTTACGCAAAAAGTATAATAAGGGTTTACCATTTCAATATAATACAGGTCACTCCATGTTTCTACCAGTAACCCTACGATGTTGCCGCGTACAAAAAACTAACACGCTAGCATAAGATCCATAATTTTCCTTTAAAAAAAACTTCCTACATTGTATTTATTTTAATATCTTACTATGTGATATATATCCCGTGCATTTTGCACGGGTACACTCTAGTAAAATAAAATTAGGAATGGTTCATCCCATGATGCCATCTGATCCAATCTAACTCATGATCAACTTTGAAAACAAATTCATCCCATCCGATCCAATCTAGACCATAGTCACCTCTATTTTATTCAATTATTTTGAAATTTTAAGAGAGCATGTAATTAGGAATGTCAATGGGACGGATTAAATAGGAATAGGCCCGTCTCATCCCCATCCATACATGGGTCTAAATTTGGCAGGTGGTGGTGTGAAAATTATACACACTAGGCCGCCATGATTGGTGAAGCGGGAATGGATCTTAAGTTTTATTCGGTCCGCCTTAAATTCACCCTTACCGGCCTCCACGATTTACTTGAATTTTTTTAATAATATAATATATCAAGGCTTAAAATTGTCTTATATCCGCGTAAAATAAGAAAAATTAAATTTATCAATATAATTGGAGTTTCATCTTTTATAATATTAATTATACGAAATTTTAACGGACACATACAAGTATTAATTATGAGGCGGATTTGAGATGGGGATTAGCGAGTGGTGGGTACTCATGTGGATGCTAGGCATGCATAGATTTAGATATAATATTGAGTATGCAAAATGACCAATAAGTTGATTGTGAAGGGTAGGTAATTGAAAATTTAAAAGGATTTTAGACTAAATAGCTAGGAGTGTATGTGAAATTTCACCTTAAGATATTGAATAAACTACAAAAGTGAATGCAATTTGTGGTAAATTGATAAAATATACACCATCTGTTTAGTATAATTATTCAAAAAACTCCGTGCAAAAGCTATCATTAGCATTGATTGTGGAGGGTCCTTACTTATAATTTTTAAAGGAAAATGCTATACATAGTCCTTAGGGTTACATATAAAAAACTAAAAGTTTAAAATAATGTAACATTAATTACATTGATTTATGCGTGATTTTGTCATGCATTCTAAATCAATACTACCAAATAAGAAATGTTATTAAATGCTTATTCATAGTTCTAAGGACTACATATATCATTAACCATATGTAGTGTTACTAAAGCCAAAGGCCAAAGCATGTATTGTTCATTCTGGATGATTAAATTATTTGTGACCGGATTTGGGGATTAATTTTAGGTGATTAGGTTCCAGTTCCCTCCCGATTGTTGTTGCGGGGGATCGAATTAACAACTAATTGGTGTATAGGGTACCTATAAAACTGGGAAATACAACTCAACCATTAAAAATTCACTCAGTAATCAGGAGGGAATTTATTGTACATGGGCCCATGTTTCTGCCCAAAAAACCAATGTAGCAAACATAAACAAAGATATTTCTAACTAACACATAAATCAAAGGAAAAACAATAATTCAAGAAAATTGAACAACTACTCCTTACTGAGAAATTTTTCATTCATCTTTATCAATCATAAACTTCAAAAATTATTTCAAAAAAAAAAAAATGACTGGCAATATTGCAAAGAAAGGTTTACAACGTTATTTATCCCAGCTTCAGCGCCACCCCTTAAGAACTAAGGTAATTTTTCCCTTAAATTTTGCAATCTGGGTATTTTGTTTTTCAATTTGTCGGTTGAATTTATGGGTTAATTTTCTTGTTTATCTGTTTGATTAATTTTTTTTTTTTCAATTTTATGGGTTAAATTTTGTTGTTGAATGTTATTTTGATGATAATTTCAGGCAATTACAGCTGGGGTTTTATCAGCAATTAGTGACATAGTTTCTCAGAAGCTTTCTGGTATTCAAAAGCTTCAAATTCGACGCCTTTTGCTTAAAGTGGTATAAATTTTGTACTTTTGGGTATTGTAGATTTAGTTTTTGACTACCCATTAATCTATTATTTCTGGGATTTTGATTTTCTTTTGATCAGCTGGTTTAATTTTGAATTGATCCCAAATTCCAATTTTTAATTGATATATGTAGTTGACTTTTTAATGTTTGCCCCCTTTTTTGCTTAAGTTATGACGCAATGAATGATGAATTCTCAACTGTTCAAACTTCAGTCTAACTTTAGGCTTAGTGTGTGTGTGAATATTCAAGATTGCAGCAAATTGACTATAATCATGTTCTTTTTGTTTAGCTTGATAATCAAGAAAAAATGATTTGTGGAATTTTGAAAGTCAAAATATAAAAGTAGATTGAAGATTATAAGGGGCTTTTAGAGTGTGCAGTTATGTGGCTTATCTAATGTTAATTAGTTTGAACTCATTGTCGGCCTGACTAAATTAGTGGTTCGACGAGCTCATAGCTTTCTGATGGGTGTTTGGAGAGGGATTTGACTTAGTATATGGATTTTTTCTGCTGCTATACACACTAATCTACTTCAAACTAGAATAAAAAATGACAACCTTTTAAGAAGATTGCTAGTTTATACACTGTGCTACTTCAAATCAGGAAAAACATTAAAATATAACTGGAACGGCGTATGCAATATGGCATTTAATCTTTTCAATAAGAATGAGCATAGGGAGCATCTTGTAGTAATTATGTGTATGATTCAATTCGTTTTAAAACCTGTTACTTGTTTCCATTTACCAACCTTACTTCAAATTAGAATAAACAATAATGACCTTTAAAGAAGATGGCTATTATCCACACTATGCTACCTCGAATCGGAATAATGACCTTTAAACATCTATATTGAAGATACGTAGTATCTTGTTATTATGCGTGTGATTCAATTTGTTGTAATTCTGTTACTTGTTTCCAACCTATGTGGGCTTGATGCAGCTTTTAGGATTCGCTTATCTTGGACCGTTTGGGCATTTCTTTCACCTCATGCTTGATAAGGTTTTCAAAGGGAAGAAGGATCCAAAGACAGTGGCTAAGAAGGTATCAGTATGACATTCTCATTTATCTGAACTGGGTAAAAAGGCAATAGAAGTTTATAAACTACAGTTATCAGTGTATTAATCAGACTTTTCATTTTATCTCAAGCACCGATGTCAAGTGCTTGATAATCAAGCATGACTTTGGACTTGATGCATTCTTTCTAGACGAAAACACAAATTCAATTTAAAATTTGTATGAATCTGATCTGTGGACACTTTTCTGTATTTAACACAAGCTGGCTAGTGTGGGTACTGGCCTACTGGGTAATATTATCATCCTGAGGCTTGGCCTTATTGACCAGCAAACGGAAATTTTCAGATATTAGAGCAAACATATATTTATATGTTGCCAAGTTCATGTCAAACTGATTGTTTGTCATAATCATGTGGAGTATGCAGCGATTCATCAATTGAGGTCAAGTCTGTTTATCAAAATCATCTTTACATGCTTTTAACATGTTTGGGGTGGGTGGTTCAGGTTGAGAGAATAAAATGGTGAAATTCAAGCCATCGTTAAATCAGCTATATTACTTCTGTTTTTGATTCCCTACCATGTTTTCTATTGAAACTGGAAGAGGAAAATGAGTTAAATGAAATGCTCATATAATCTATATTCTATATGTTTCAGGTTGTTGTTGAGCAATTGACAGTGTCCCCATTGAACAACATGCTCTTTATGATATATTATGGATGGATCGTGGAGAGTAAGTTGATCTCAGTTTATTGTGTGCAATTTTTCTCTGCAATTGAAAACTGAGTGCATTATGCATTGAGATCCATTTCCTCATTTTTACATGCTCTCTAAAACCAGCAACTTGGTAAAATTGCTAAGGGGAGTATTCTTCTTTCTTCTGGTATCATTCAGTTTGTGGAATCATGCATGATCACGTACTTATGGACTGGTAATCATGTACTTTATGGACTGGTAGTGATGTGTGTAATATGATCATGGCAGTTATATATCACCATTTGCATATAACACGTGTTGATTGCTGACCACTCAGCTTGAATAGCTTTATGAATATTGTGCATACTGGATTTACAGTCCTAAACCTTCAAAATCCTGGACATCACACAATGTTACAGAGAATCTTCTAACAGTCTAATGGCCATCTCCACTTCTCTCAACTGTGATGATACTACTTGTCCAGTTGTATCTCATATGTGGAGGGTCTGTGTTTGAAAGTATCAGTTGTTAGTTGACTAATCTTATTTAACTATTCGAATTGAACGACTTTAATCAATGTGTAAATTGCAGGAAGACCATGGACCCAGGTCAGAAGCAGAATTAGGAAAGATTATCCGTCAGTGCAGTTGACAGCATGGACGGTAATACACAATTATTTGTCTGAACTCTATATTTATTTAATGTGGCATTCTGACTTATTATCTAATCTAATATTCTCCATTTGATGGTTGGATCAGTTTTGGCCCGTTTTTGGGTGGATTAACCACCAGTATGTGCCTTTGCATTTACGGGTGATTTTCCAGAGCATGATTGCTTTTGGCTGGTAATGATATTATATTCTCGTCTTTCCCAATTATGCTGCTTGTGTCTATATATGTATATATGGAACATAAAATGAAATCTGATACATATGAGCTCTCTATTTTCTTTGAACTTCTCAGGGGAATATTTTTGAACTTACGAGCAAGGTCTATGCTTCTTACCAAAGCTTGACCAAACAAAAGCGTACGTATCCAACTCATCACTAATCACTAGAGCCTACTACCCCATTGAATGTCCAATGCAAGTGGAATCAGTGATATCCTATTATACTTTTTTTACATTATGTCAGCATGGCGCAGATGGTTAGATTTGAAGTTAAAATTCATTGTTTCGACTAGCTAGATCCTTTGAAATGTACAATGTAAATCAATAAATCTTCTCGGAGTCTCTTGCAAAGCCTATTGTCTTCATAGGTGATTGCTAAATTAAACCTAGAGATGATTCAGACATCTTTATGCAACTTCTGCAAAAAAGGGCTAGTTTTCCCAACAACAAAGCATTTTTGCTTATAGTTGGTAGAGCCTCCCCTGAAGTTTGTCTTTCATCTTGTTATCATCACGATTCACGAGTGGTGGAATTGATATAATGGTATTGTAGTAATATGCTTATTGTTTGTATTCAATGATCCATTTATCGCTTTTTGTTTGCCTTCTTAGAATATTCCTAAAGAATGGTCCCATATAGGAGTCTTGACTAACCAAGCCGAGATATGGTTTGAGTTCAAACCTCACCAAGCTTGTAAAATTGGTCTTGGCTCGAGCTATTGACACTAGGCTTAATCAAACTTGGCACTAAGTTGGGCCCAAAGCTCAAATTCTTTATTTTGTGCTCAACCAAGGGCCTCTTCTATACAGCTTAATTTCAGTTCATCTCAGCTCCAATTAGTTCAGTTTTTAATTTTCTTCTCTCATAAACAAATTATTTCAGCTCTATTCAATTTAGTTTTATTCTACTCAGGTCAGCTCCAATCAGTTGAATTCAATTGTTTTCAGTAAATTGGAACATACCCTAAAAAACTAGTTTTTGTCCCAAGAGTCCAAGACTCACATGTGAATATGCAGTAGCTAATTTTATGTTAAAAATCACACTATGTATGAAAAAAGCATACAAAGGTGAAGTATGTTACTCGTAAGTCGTAACAAGCTTTTTAGATGAACCAAGGATGACTCAAGGTTAGCTCTTTAATTCGAGCCAAATCCGACCTTGAGTCAAGCCCCCTATATGCACAACTCAAATGGAAAAGCTAAAGTACGGGCCTGTTCTCATTGACTGAACTCAGCTGAACTGAGCTGAACTGAACTAAACTGAGCTGAATTGAACTGAAATGAATATTTTATAAGAGAAGGAAATTAGGAGCGGAGCTGAACTGAACTGAACTCAGCTGAACTAAACTGAACTGAACTGAACTGAACTGAATTTCAACGTAAGAGAACAAACCCTACGTTTACAAGCTTTAGAGTTGAGCCAAGGATGACTCAAGATTAGCTCATTAAATTTGAGCCTAGTTCGACCTCGAGTCAAGCCCCTGTACAGCTCAAAAATTGTACTCTAGTCTAGACAATACGTAGTATAAGAGGAAAATCTACATTTATAATTCATCTTATAAGGTGGCATCTTGTTTTTATACAATTGTATTCTTTCAGCGTGCATAGAAGTAATAGAACCTCAAACCGTCCTATGTTAAACCGAGTTAACAACTTTGGCATAGAACATGACGTTCACGTGATAACATGATTTACATTATTTGACATAGAAAATGTTAAGATAGAGTTCAGAAGTTTTTTCCTAGTACAAAATTTCAATATTTGACATAGAAAAATGCCGTTGCAAAATTTTTCCGTGTTCAGATGACTCAAGTTGATTTATGATCAAATGACTCAAGTTGATTTGTGATTAGGGACAGTGGCGGATCCATAATTCCGAACTAGGGGTAGCACTAAATGCATAGTAGAAAAATTAAAGGGACGAATTAACCAATATACACCTATGAACATGAAACTCAAACTAAATTTAATTAAGATGGTAATAACACATCAATTTAAAGTTTTTGCATAATTGTGATTTTGCATAATTAAGATGGTGATAACACATCAAGTTAAATTTCAACTATCTATACATTTTGCTATGAGTTATTATTGTGGATAAAATTATGCATGTACAACATAATAGCTATCAAAATATATATTTTATATTACAATAAAATAAAATTAGTCAATTTATCAGATATTACTAATTTTCTTCACGGACGAATAATCTATATATATTTCATACTATTATTATTGTTGAACAAAATTTAATGGAAGTTATTTTTATGTAATGTATTTTAAAATGAATGTCAAGAAAGTAAAAAAGTAATTTGGAAAAGAATCAAAATTTGCTGGAAGTCAATTTTATCTTATCTATTTAAATGTCAAGAAAGAGGAAAATTATTTGGGGTGGAAAAAAAAAAAGCATTGATAGTGATTTTTTTTCAAAAAAAAATAAAAAAATATAGACTTATAATAAACCAAAAAGAAAGTGTTTCCAGGGTACCTCAAAGGAAGCTTTAATTACTTGCTTTGTATCGCTGAAGCAAATTCAATATTCATGTAATATATGCATTGTCTAATAGTTATCAAGTATTTAGGAGGAAGGTTTTTTTATACATTTTTTTTTTCGGGGGTAGCACGTGCCCCCCGGGTTCCAATGTAGATCTGCCAGTGATTAGGGACTACCAAATAGTCTCTCCGAATTAGATTCCTTGCATTATTATATAAAATATTTTTGACCATCAATATCTTTAGTTAAAAATATTAATGTAAACATCTTATAAATAATATACAAGTATGTGAGTAACGCAAGGTTAATAGCGATATGAGTATGATTATACGAGTAGTCGAGTATTCAATGTTGAAGGAAGAATATAGAGGTAGTAATGAGATTGTGAGCTGCCTAATTCCTGTGATAAATTTTTCTCAAGTGGATCGGATTTTACATTACCAACTTGTAAAAGGTCGGTTTTAAGTTTTTAAACCATGTAACTTTAGATAAGTAGTTGAGTATGAAAATACAGTTGAAGTAAAAAGGAGTTTTACTTTTTGTACGGAGAATGTTTAGTAGGTGAGCAAAAAGGGTGAGGAGGGGGTTTGGGCATGCATAGCCGAGAATGTCAAGGTGTCGAATTCACATTTCATGTTTAAAACCCCGCATAAGTCAATCTTATTGAGAAAGAGCGTCGAATTCTCATACCGTAAATTCGTATTTATACACCTTTGGCCTTTAGTATTTAAATTAATTCTTCTTTATCTTAGTTGAATTCTTAAAGTTGGTGACATAATTACATTCTAAATGTCAATGCTAATTAAGCACTAACATTATGTCAAATATAAGACTTCATTTAGCTATATGGCAGTAAAGTGTGAATTATAAGCTTAAATAACAGCCTCTAAATTAGAACAAATCAAAGAATCATGAGTTTTACTACATAAATGTTAAACTTTGAAGAGTCCATTATAATTACTTGTACTATCCAAATCTATAAATAGTTGAATATTATGGTATACAATCCATGAAAAAGTCTTCTCCTTTACTAGTCAATTATTATCCTCAATATTTAACAAACTATTCAACATTTTGACCAAGTTTTCCCTTCTTTTTTTGGCCTTTCCTTAGATCTACCTTTGAACCACAAGTATTTATATATATAATCAACAACACCAACCACACCATATTATTCAACAAACACAAGTTTCAACTCAAGATCTTCAAAAAAAAAAAAAAAACATGATTTCCTTACAAAAGTCCTCTAATCTTTCGTTATTTTCGTTAAACTCGGTTTCTTCAAACAAATCTATAATCACAAGTTCAATTAGTGGTTCAAAATACTTAAGGTACCCCAAAATAACAGTCCCAAAACTACCAAATCAAGCACAAAAACAAATATTCATCGATGATTTTAACAAGCTTACAAACCTTCCTCTAAGAGAAGCGAAACCAATTACCACCACAACCACGAAAAACACGAAAGAAGCTATCAAATTGTACACAATCTTAGAAGCTGTTAATGATAGGATTGAAATGCATCAAAACATCGGAAACCAACGTGAGAATTGGAACTCATTGCTGTTAAACTCGGTTAACATGATCACCTTAACCGCGGTTACAATGGCCGGTCTAGCCGAGGCTAGTGGGCCTAATGGGTTAGGGTTAAAGGTGTCTTCAGCCTTACTCTTTGCTGCAGGCACCGGTATCCTTTTAATAATGAACAAGATTCAACCTTCTCAGTTGGTAGAAGAGCAAAGAAACGCGGTAAGGTTGTTCAAGAGGCTTCAAAATAACATCCAAACTACTCTTTCTATTCGATCACCAACTCAGGAAGACGTCGAGGAGGCCATGGAGAGGGTGTTAGCCTTGGATAGAGCGTACCCTTTGCCTCTCCTAGGCGCCATGCTCGATAAGTACCCCGAGAGTTTAGAGCCTGCTATATGGTGGCCATCTAAGAAACAATCAACTTCATCACTAAAACACAATTCTTCTAAAGGTAATGATGAGCAGAATGGATGGACTAGGGAATTGGAGGATGATATACGAGAAATCGTAGGCGTGACAAAGAACAAAGATGTTGAGGATTATGTTAGGTTAGGTAACAAGGCGTTGAAGTTGAGTAAAATGTTAGCTGTCTCGGGTCCACTTTTGAGCGGTGTTGCAGCCGTGGGAGCTGCTTGTTTAGGCCATGGTGGACCGTGGGGAGGAATCGTGGCGGGTGTAGCGGGGTCTATGGCTGTTGCAGTGAATACTATAGAGCATGGTGGGCAAGTAGGAATGGTGTTTGAAATGTACAGAAATTGTGCTGGTTTTTTTAAGCTCTTGGAAGAGACTGTAGAGTCTACCTTAGAAGAAGGGGACTTACAAAAGAGAGAAAATGGTGAAGTTTTCGAGTTGAAGATGGCTTTGCATTTAGGTCGGAGCTTGTCTGAACTCAGGGAATTCGCCAGTAAATCAAGAAGAAATGGAGGTTCTGTTGATGAGTTTGCAAGCAAGCTATTTTAATCATTTAGTTGTTGAACAATTGTAAATTGTAATTAGGGAATTCTTTCATTCTTTTATGAATTTAATTTGTTGATATGATTAGGTGATTTTGTAAATGTATGAACATGGCATTGTATTTGTATATAGAACACGACCACACGTTTAGGGAAATGTATTTACTTGCATGTACATACATGTGAAAGCAAGTTTAATATATGTAGGTATGAAAGCAAAAGCGAAATAAGAACTTGTTATTAAAAGCTGTAAATGACTAACTTGATAGCTTCTAAATGAAACACTTTGTAAATCTCTACAAAGAATAATTTTTGGATACAAGTTTACTCATGAACCGAAATTTGATATGCTAATGTCCTCGAAGAACAATGATGCTACAAGCAAATTGTTTGATAGGCTAATGTCTTCAATGAACAATGATGCTTCTAGCAAATCTGATGGTAAATTGGTAAGTGTAGCTCTACTCATGGATTTTCGACGTTGGTTATTAGAATCATTAGGAATATAATTCTATAATAGAGTGTGAGTGTGTACATAAGTTTCTCTCTAGGTTGTTCAACCAAGATCGAGTAATCAAACAACGCCCAAAAGAAGTTCAAGTTTTGAGGTTTGTCATGTCTTGTATATATGTTCCTAGTTTGAATATTAATCTTCATTTGTGTCCCGATTTGTGTCATGTCTTGTTTATTTGTCACAATAAAGCTCATAATGATAATAACATTTCCGTGATTATAAAGACCCACCCTTGTAACTAGAGGTGTCCACCGTGCGAGTCGTGCGAGCTGGGTTAGGGTTAGGTGGGTCGCGGGTTGGGGTTTCATGACACACGGCACGACACACGTAGGGTAGGGTGGGCCGGGTCGTGGGTTGGGTCGGAGAAGTTGGACACACCAGGGTTAGGTTCGTGGGTTAGACGAGTCGTGGGTGGGTCGAGCTGGGTTTGTGGGTTAGACGGATCGTGGGTGGGTCGAGCTGGGTTTGTGGGTTAGACGGGTCATGGGTGGGTCGAGCTAGGTTCGTGGGTTAGACGGGTCAAGGTGGGTTAGTGAGTTAGGGTGGGTCGAAGGGTGGGTTAGTGGGTTAGGGTCGGGTGGGTTTGTGGGTTAGGGTCGGGTGGGTTAGTGGGTTAGGGTCGGGTGGGTTTGTGGGTTAGGGTCGGGTGGGTTTGTGGGTTAGGGTCGGGTGGGTTCGTGGGTTAGGGTCGGGTGGGTTGTGTGGTGTTTTAATTTTTACAAAATTAACAATTTGATGGCTTGCTCTTAATTAAGATGCCTACGTATCCTTATATTATAAAATAAGGAATCAAAGCCAGCGTAGTTCTTATATTGTACTTCTTTTGAAATTTGGGGGGGGGGCTTGGACCTATCTTTAGAAAACTAAAATTTAATTTTGCAATTAAATTGTAATTTTCGAAAAATAAGTTGCCTACGTATCCCGAAAGAATCAAAGCCCACGTAGTTCTTAGCGTACCTGATTTAGACTTTTCTAGCCACCCATGTTTGTTGCATCATCATCCCCGGAAGCTGCATCATCCGTTGACGACTCCAATATCATCACAGGATCATCTTCATCGTCTTCGTCTTCCTTTAAACCTTGAGTTCTTCTTTCAGCTTGATCCCAATCTTTCTTACAAACACAAATTTGAATGCTTTCCGGAGTTAAGCGAGATCTTTTTTCATCTAACACTCTTCTACCTGCACTAAAAGCAGACTCGGAAGCAACAGATGAAGCGGGAACTGCAAGTATATCTTTTGCAATTCTCGCCAATATAGGAAAACTTTTTTTATGTTCTTGCCACCATTTTATAATTTGAAAGTTGTTGTTGGTCTCATGTTGATATGACAAATAATCATTAATAGCAAGTGTTGAAGAAGATGATGATGAGAATGATGTAGGTGCTTTGTGTTTTTTTTTCATAACTTTATCAAGAAAACCAAATCTAGAATCGGAAGTGCTAGTAGTAGTTGGTGTTGCCAAATCAAAACCATAAATAGATGCATAATGATCATAAAGGTCTCCCAAAACAGATTTGCATTTGTTAATATATTCACTAACATCATAATCGATACTTAAACTTGTATAATAAAATTCTAAAAGATTTTCCAAACCTTCAGCTTTGACACCGGGGTCAAGAATAGCAGCAATTCCATAAATGATTGGAAATTCACTAAAATAAGTATGCCACTTACGTTTCATGCTATCAAGAACGGGACAAAGTCCATCAATCTTCATATGCTCTTCGATGGTGTGAACAACTTTAACACACTCAATTATGACTAAATGAACGTTAGGCTCATAAATATAAGAGAAAATATGAGTTGCACTATCAAAAGCATTTAAAACATCACGAACAAAAGAAGCATTAGTCCAATGACTTTCGGTTATTAACTCAGTAGGATCAACACGAGTCTCATTGTAAAGTTGGGTCAAAATATCACGATACTTTATAGCATCACTCAACAACTTGAAAGTAGAATTCCAACGGGTAGGGGTATCAATAGACCATTGTCTTTTCTTAAGACCTCTCTCTTTACACATAGCTATGTACTTTCTTCTAACTGAATGAGTAATCCTAATCCATTTTATAATTGTTCTAATTGGGTTTAGCAATGGTTGCAACTCAGCGAGACCCTCTTGAACAGACAAATTCAAAATATGAGCACAACATCTAACATGCAAGAGACTACCACCCAACAACAAATTCAACTCGGAGTCATTTTTCAAATAGTCAATACACTTTGTGTTTGCAGTTGCATTATCAAGAGACAAAGAAAAAACTTTATTATTCAAGTGAAATTCTTTTAAACAATCCAAAATACGAACTTTGATGTTAAAACCGGTATGCCTTTCTTCCATAGCTTGAAAACATAGTATACGTTTTTGAATAAACCAATCATCATCCACCCAATGAGCAGTAATGCAAAGAAAAGGTTCGCCAAAACTAGAAGTCCATGTATCACTTGTAAAACTAACACGACCATCAAAAGTACGAAATAATTCAATCAAACCACTCCTATACTTATAATAAGAAGTTTGTGTATAACGTCTTAGGGTATTTCGGGGGACACGAGTAAATGCAGGTTGTAATGCAACTTTATTAAAATGCTCAACGTTTGCATTTTCACCGTAACTAAAAGGGTATTCATTAGCAATAACTAAAGTACTCATTTCATCAATCATTCTATCTTTATTATAAATGAAAGGTGTACCTCCGCCGGGTTGGTTCATGTATCCACCCAATTGTGTTTGGACGCCACCCCCCGAAGGACGGGGGCCATTTTCGAACAAGTCGTGTTTATTTTGCAAATGCCGACTCAAGGTTCCGGTTCCATCTCCCGTTTTCCAATTATATGACTTGACATTTGCACCTAGCGCCTTGCAAACTAGGCATGTACACGTGAACCTCTTTGGTTGACCAGGTTGCCATCCCGGGGGTGTGACCTCAACTCGTTCAAAATGTTTCCACACCCAAGAAAAATGTGCTCGACCTCTACTTTCACCGCCACCACCTTTCATAAATCAAATTATTAAAATTAATTTTTAAATGCTATTCATGAAAATAAGCTTTTAAATTTTAAATATTTTAATTATACTTATTTAAACGCATTTTTCATGGTAATTAACTAATTGTAAATCATAGAAAATTGGAAACTAAACTAACTTTATAATCATTAATAATAGTTTTTTTAAATATTCATAACAATAAAAATTTAATTAGAAATTACCTTGAGATGAAGGTTGAGATGTTGGTTGCGATGGAGGTGGCATAGTTGAACTTGATGATTGGTGGGACTCGTGGGAGAAATGTTGTGGTGGAGACGTTTGAATATTTTGCCTATCTCCTAAACCATAATCTCCATATTCATTGACAAATTGGTTTAAATTTTCCGTATTAATTTCATACGAAAAATTTGCACCACCACTCCTTTGGCTACCACTTCGACCACCACTTTGACTCCTTCCCATTCCTCCTCTTGAGCTCATTTTTTTTTTGTATGATTACTAATTATAATATGGAGAAGAACTTTTTTTTTTAGAATCTTAAGAATACTAATAATAATATTAAGGAGATTTTTTTTAACAAAAATATAACTCTATATAACACTTGAGAATTTAAGAACAATAAGAATTTTTAAGTAAGAGAGAAAGAAAGCTTGAATTTGTGTGGAAATTTGAGTGAAATGGAATTGGTATTTATAGGAAAAATAGAATGGATGATCATACACTTAAAAAACTAGCCGTTAGATACAAAAAACTAGCCGTTAGATACAAAAAACTAGCCGTTTTTTTTTTAAAATGGATGTTAGGCCGTGCGGGCCGTGCGGGTCGTGCGAATTGTGCGGGCTGTGCGGGCCGTGCGGGTTGTGCCGGCCGTGCGGGTTGGGTGGGTCATGCGTGCGGGTTGGGTGGGTCATGCGTGCGGGTTAGGTGGGTTGGCTCGTGCGGGTTGGGTGGGTCATTCGTGCGGGTGGGCCGTGCGGGCTGGGTTGTGCCAGGTGGGTCGGGTTAGGTGGGTTCACGGGCTAGGTGTGTCGAATTAAATGAGTCAAAACGGGTTGTGCGATTTGGGTCGAATCAAACGGGTTAAACTGAGCTGGGTTGAAATGGGTTGTGTCGAAAATTTTGGACCCACGACACAACCCGGATTAAATCCGAGTTGTGCCGGGCTGTGCCGGATTGAAACCGGGTCGGACCCACGTGACCCACCAGCCGTGCGAGTTAGGGTGGGCTGGGTCCAACCCGGCCCAGTGGCCACCTCTACTTGTAACTTGATAAAGCACGTGTTAATACATATTTCCAGACATTATAACTGCAAACATAAACTGTTACTCAATTTTTTACCACAGAAGAACGATTGTTTTCTCTTCATCAGGTTGGTTAAATCTAGCATACTCCAATGACGGATCTTATACAGGTCCAATGAGTTTCTGAACCCGACCCCTTAAAATAGTTTAAACAATTAAGCATATCAATAATAAACAAAAAGGAGCTATTCAAAAAAAATAATAATAATAATAAACAAAAGGGATATAGAGAGTACAAAACAAAACAACGCGACACATGCTCAATAGTCCAAGAGAAAAATCAAACAAATTAATTTTTGTTAGAAGATAAGTCTAATAAGTGAATGCCAATTATTGATTTGATTACACAATGCTCATATAGGTCCAAACACTTGTGAACTCATATGGCTCTATGTGAGTAATTGTTGTATTATTAGTGTAACTCATGGCTATAAATACAATG